ATAATATGTAACAATCATTCAAACAAAGTACTAAAGAATAACTAGTTATTGTTATTGTTGACTAGTGAATTATTGTAAGATAATGTGCATTTGAAAGTTTGTAGGAATAACATGTAATCGAAAATATTTATTTATAAAAAGGACATGGATAATGCATTTAGTAATGCGGCGTTTTAGGATATTATGATATATTTGTTTATGAACTATGAGTTACTTATTTGGAAAGATTATATAAAAATTGAAGAAGTTTTAATTGTTTTCACAAATTGTGGCGCTTTTATGTTTATGATAAAAAAAAAATTATAACTTAGGAAATTAAAATTTCAATAATCATCACTCTCTAAAATTTTAAAAGAATATTTCCTATGGACTAATTTATTAAGTAATTGTTTTCTTTTTCTTAAATTATTTTTCTCCTAATATGTTTTGACCTTTCATAAAATTGTACGGACATTTGGGGCTTGTACTTAGTGGAAATCTAGTCTCTTGGGAAATACATTATGTTTCTTAATTAGCAACAAATGGAATCTAAACCCCCACTATTTTTGGTTAATCAATTAAATTTTAATCTTTTTAAAGCCCAAATTGGATTAAGAAAGTAAGATTTAAAATTGTTTACCTAAGAGTGAAGTTAGATTGGTGGATCGTCATCATGATTTGAGATTAAATTGATTTAAAATTTGAATTTTATTTGAACATGTAATTTAACGAGTACTACTTTTAAATATTTGAAATGGATATATTTTTTGATAATTTATGTATGTAAAATAATGTTTACTGTCACGATCCAAGTTATTATCCGCATTAATCTAATAGATTCTATATATTTTCGCGAGCCTCCCTCTGTTATGGCCATCAAGTTTATAATATGTTATGTTTTAAAGTATATCTACAAAATTCTCCAAATTGTTATTAAATGAATAATCCAACATGCAGAAATCTTTAATTGAAGAAATGTTAAAGAAAAGAAGAGAGAAGGAATTGATTCACTTTAAAAGAAGATAATATTCTTCACTACTTTTTCTACTTTAGCATCATTCATTAACCACATTGTGCATGTTATTAGAAAGAAAGGAAAAAATAGTGAAAATTTCAACTTTAAATGAGTACCAATAAGTCAATAACATTAGTATATAAATTAGTGTTTATATTCGCCACCTTTATGCTTGAAAAATTGACTAATTAGTGCTAACAACAATAGTTGCATTATTCATGTTGTCCATCAATTGCATGAATAGTAATACTTCTAGAAGAATGAGAACTCCACTTCTGATATAATTTATTTTATGGTACGAGCTCGATAAAATTCAGTAATATTAATTATATATATATTTTTTTTTATTTAATATATAAAAATTATCAAATTTAGAACTCTATAAATTCAATAAACTAAACTTCTGAATTCATAAAATTCAAATTGTGAATCTACACAGTTTACACGCCGTCCAAAAACTTTTTAAATTTTAAGCAGAAACTAAAAGATGAATATAATTTATTTATTTTTTATAAAAAGGAAAAATAATCCAACTGGATAGTTTGACAATGTTAAGGGAGTTCAATCATTGTCCTAAATTTACTTTTTCTTAGGTCACAATTGTCAAAGGGATGTTTAGGTAAGATTGAAGTTTGTTAAATGTTTAGCTAAGAATGAGTAGACTTGAATTATAACTATGACTTTTTGAAGATTCACATGTGACTCATACAGTTGAGCCAGCATGATCGGAACTAGAAATTCAAATACGAATTCGGTTAAATTCAATATTTTTTATTCTAATAATATATTGATATTTTAAATAAATATATTAATTATTAAATTTAGAATGCAATCATTAACATTTCAAATTATCATTCTAAAATTCAGAATCATAAAGTTGAAATACTAGATTCACCCCGAAGGGTGACAACCTTTCTATCCCTACCTAATTAAACACTTATCAGTTATCAAAGCATATGTTTCCAAGAGATCATACTTCACATACACATGTTTGATTTTAAGTGTGTATATAATACACATATAATAATTATAACTAAAAGAGGATATAATATGTGGAACAATATATGCATGATATTAATCTATATATTATATATCATTATGTATTAAGATGGAGACATATTAGTCAACATACATGTCTAGAGCTATTAAATTAAATAAATCACTCGCTTAATTATATTTGTTTGATGTCTTAATAATAATTAGATGTGCTTTACTTACTAATATTGTTGCACACTTGTAATTATACGAAGCTCCAATTATTACATTAGTTTATTGTTGTTACTGTTTTTTTGTATGCTATGTAGTTTGTAGAGCTTTCGATAGCACTTTATTTCGTTGTTACTGCTTCCATTTTTGTTTTTGTTTTTTCTAACTGCTTTGAGATGCTTTACTTGAGCTGAGAAGATTGATCGGAAACAATCTCTCTGTTTTTATGAGGTAAAAATAACCTATAACTGCTAAGGTTGTACACTTACCACCCTCCTAGCTCAAATCCTATTTGTTAGTAGTAGTACAAAGTTGTACTTTATTACATCAAGTAGGCATTTGACCATATAATTTGAAGCTCAAATTTAAATTGAAAAATAGATTTTTATATAGAATGTGTTTATTATTTTCTAATTACGTAAGAAATTAACCACCTATTAATTATGTAGGGTTATCTTAGCTTCCAATTCAATGCACAAACACTACTTATAAATGAAATATATGCTTATTTAAAGCACTATAATTAATGCTTTTTTTTTTTTTTACAAATAAATAAAATATAGCTTCAATGAAGTGCTTATATAATTCATTGAAGAAACAAGAATGTACATGTTATAGCCTTGAATAAAAGAGATGGCCAACAATCAATTCATGGTCTAATTGAAGAAACAAGAATGTACATGTTATAGCCTTGATTAAAAGAGATGGCCAGCAATCAATTCATAGGAGACCATGACTAATCATCTTAGCTAGGTCAAGGTCCACATCTTGTCAATTGGTTTGTAATTTTTTAACAAATTTATTTGTAATTATTGGGCGGTTCGAGTCGGAGTCAGGATCAAATATGACACCTACTTGGTGGGATTAGTTGAAAAATGAAGTTGTATCTTTACTATTTTAAATTATATCTTTTGATATAAACGTAAGCGTTTGATCCTAATAAGTGGTATCAGAACCAAAATCATGTGACCCATGAGTTCAATTTTCAAGAGCAACATATTGCATAAAGCAAGTGTTGGGAGATGAATTGTTAGGTAACACCAATATATTATCCATGGGAAGGCCTAAGAGGGGCCTGGGATGGCGTGATTCAGAGTCATGATTGAATATGATGTTTTTTTTTTTGTGAATTTAGTTAAGAAATAAAGTTACACTTTTGTTATTAGCTATAATTTTTGACATGCTCAATTATAAACACTTGAACCTAACAAATGACATCAGAACCAGAACGTGTGTTATGTTTGGTATTCCACTCCATTTTACTTTTTTCTTAAATTCTGTACGGATTCAAACTATGTACTATATAAATTGAAACAGAAGGAGTATATAATTGCATGACGGTGGGGGGTTTATTTGTAAATTCACATTGAGGTTAGAACTGCCGGCAAAGAAATTAATGTAAGGTGTTGGGTTGGGCCCCCGACATTGACAGCGAGATCTCGCGGCCCAAAGCCCATCTATATTATATGGCCCACATGAAAATGCATATGTTGGAAGTGGGCCCATTTGACGTTAGCTTAAAAGAAAAAAAAAACTTATAATAAACAATTTCATAAAATAATAATAATAATAATAAAAGAATTCTAACCTTGTTTTTTCTTTAGTGGAAGAGATGAAAAATTGTCCTTATGGTACTATTTTGTTGTACTTTAAAAATGTTAGTTTGTTTTTTTTTTGAGCCGAGGGTTATTAACTATTGGAAATAGATGATTTATCTCTGGGATAATAGTAAAATCTGCATATACTCTATCTTTCTTCAATTCTAACATTGTTTTTTTTCTCAAGTGAAAATCTGTTGTTTCTCGTACTTTGATTATCTATTGTTTTGTCATAGTTACCGTTTAGAACTAGACAACTTTGAAATGTTTTTTCTTTAGTTGAGGGTCTGTCGAAAACAACCCTCTCTACATCTAAGATAGGGAATAAAGTCTATATATATTTTATCATCCACAAACTCCATTTTGTGAGGCTACACTGAATGTATTATTGTTGTTGGGAGAGACCAAAAATTAAGAAATTTTGAATTCAGACCTTGTTTTTTTCTCAAGTGGAAAAGAACTAGAAATATTGTTACTATATGTTGTTTCTCGTACTTTGCTATCTATTATTTTCTTGTAGTTACTACTAGAATGATTTGTTATACTTTCACTTTGATTTATTCTTTTTTGTGTGGACGACTTGAACTGTCTTTCCTTTAGTTGAAACAACTTCTCTACCTCTAGGGTAGGGATAAGGTTTGCGTATATTCTATCATCCATAAACCCCACTTTGTGAGACTACATTGAATGTATTATTATTGTTGGAAAAGACGGAAAAATAAGAAATTTTAAATTCAGACCTTTTTTTCTTCTCGAGTGGGAAAGACGAAAAATGAATAAATTTTATTTTGTGGCTTTTTGAGTTTAGACATTAGATATAGGCTGGCAGGGCGGTTGTTGTGTGGGTCCCGCCTGCCTGCCAAACATTTCAACCCGCACCATCCCGCCCCACATAGCAAAATTTTCTATTTTCTTTCTTAAAATGTACCATATGATAGTGTATCATATTTAGACCTGCTTAGAGAAATCTAGGAAATGACTAGTAGAATACAACTAAAAAGAGTAAAGCTCAATGCATAACGCATTACGCCTTAGCAGAATTTGAGAAAGGGTCACACCCCAGGAGGTGTGATGTATACAGGCTAACCTAGAGATCATTTACAAAAGAAAGACGACTATTGTAAACCTGTTTACATCAATTGAAAAAAAAATGCCTTTTGCGCGAAAAAAATGTATGTTGTTTTACCTGTAGCATGACTCTGTCAACACTTGTTCATGTGTACTGTTGGCATATGAAATTTCTCAAATCGCGGTTCAGTTAGATCCACTGGTTCATCATCATGTGCACTCCAACATTTGGAATTTGAACTCTGGAGGAGCAGATTTTCGACATATGCAGCTGGAATAACGTCTTCTTTTGGATCACTAGATACTCTACAATGAATGAATGCACAATCTGGCAACAAGCAGTGAGCTGCGCGATTCTCAGATGTGATTTGCTTGATCTCCTCGACTTCAACAAAGCCCGAACTTTCTCCATTACTCTTGTTGTCATAACTGAATGAGCCCTATATAATGTGTAAACAGGTTTCTCAGCATGATGAATGTTTAGATTACAACAAAAACTGGACTTGAAATATCATTCCAGGGGACAATAGTGTACTCGAGGGCCAGTGGCATACTGTTTGAAACTCGGAACATAGTGGACCTTCCCTTTTATCTAAGGCAGGGTTCGAACCTATGCAGCATTCGTAACATTTCATAGATGATAAATATATAGGATTCCTAACATTTCAGCTAGATGAAGTTTCTTCTAAATCGGAACGTATATGTACATTGGCATATAAGAACCTAGTCTCTATGTTGTATAGGCATAAAGAATAGTTGGTAATGTTTATCCGTTTTGTGAAATCGATAGATCAATTAAACAACTATGCAAACATAAAATGGCAGCATGTCAATAGAAAACCAAAATAAGTTCAGTTCATATACCTTGAAGTCATCTCTCGAAAAGTGTTTCCGATTAGATGTTTCAGGTGCAATAGTTGACAAAATTTGAACAACTTCACTCATAGTTGGCCGAGAATCTGGGTCCAGTAGAAGACACTCTTTAGCCAAGTAAGCCATTACCTGCAATTCTTCCTCTTCAAAATCCCCGTTCAGATTTGGATCAGGCAATTCTGAGACCACACGTCTACTGTCTAGTAGACGAGGGGTGGCCTGTATTTAGATGAAAATTAGTAATCGCCATTATCTTTTTTCGTGAGAGGACTGAGGTTTTGCAAAGGAGTCTGATAACATTAATTCAATGTTCAAATAAGTTTCCGTACCCATATCACGAGGCTTTCTTCTGCTTTGTTGGCTGACTTATGGATTGGTTGTCGTCCGGTTATCAGTTCAAGGAGCACAACTCCGAAGCTAAAAACATCCGACTTCAGAGAAGCTCTTCCAATAATTGCATATTCAGGTGCGAAATAGCCAAATGTCCCCTGCATCCGAGCAGGAGAGCTGGAACAGCTAGGGATACCATCATTTTGGAGATGCTTCGCCATGCCAAGATCAGTAATCTGAACACATTATATTCAGGTAGTCAGACAAAGTGGGATATAGTAATAACGGAAAATGAGACGATTTACAACTTGTAGGTATTAACTCTGGCAATCATAAAAAGACGGTAATTTTCAAACTTACCTTAGCTCTATAGTTATCATCCAATAGGACGTTAGTGGATTTAACATCTCGGTGTAAGATTCTTGGTGCAGCTGCTTCATGAAGATACTCCAAGCCACGTGCAGCTCCAAAAGCAACTGCGACCCGTGTGCTCCAATCCAGATGTCTCCCGGAAGCCCCATCCAGACAATCTCTCAGATTGCCATTTTCCATGAATTCGAAAACAAGCAGCCTCTCTGCATGTTTACCATGATGCTCGGAGCAGTAGCCAAGCAACGGAACCACATGACGATGATGAAGTCTTGAAATGAGTTCTATCTAGCAAATTTTAAGAACATATTTAAATAACCTTCTCATCATGTGTAAAGGCTCCCAACCATGTTTAACACATAAGGTGAATGATCCTTGTAGGTATTATTACCTCTGTCAAGAAAGCAGAGTCAGCGTCCCGCCCTGCCTGAGTTTTAATTCGCTTAATTGCGAGAGCTTTTCCATCTTTGAAATAACCACGGTATACGCAGCTGCTTCCTCCCACCCCAATCAAATTGGAATCAGAGAACTTATTGGTTGCACTCTCTAAGTCAGCATATGAAAACTGAATAATCGTTCCGTAAAACACTTCTGGTTTTCTTTTGAAAAAAATAGATGCTTTAGGAACACAACCTACAGGATAAAAAGTTCAAAGAGAAACGAACACAATTCAAGACATCAGGAAGCTCATACTACATAGCGAAATCACTCTTAAGGATCGGAAGAGCAAGTCCATCCTAAGCAGAAAGTGATACAATATAACATCTGTTGTTTCATTTCAAAGAAGTTACCTGCAATACAGTTGGAGGAACCTATGTATCCTCCATGTTCTCCAGTTGTAGTTCCTTGGCTTAGTATTAAGTTGGTAGCACTGTTGCAACTTGTATATTTGTCGGACGAAAATAGAGATCGTTGAATAGAATATTTATCCTTTCTATAGGCATAGCACAACATCGAAGCAACAAAACCAAGAGTTATGACCGTTGCACATAATAAGAGAATGACCAAAATAACTTTGCTGGATATCTTCTTCTTTGCAGATTGCGTTTCAAGTTGAGTTCCTATCAGAACGAAACACATAATTAATCAACTGTCTGAACCTGTTAGTATTCGCAATCAAGGAAAAAGAATGAGCAAAAATTAGTGTGTAGAGAGCATAGAAGAAAAGCAGATAACCGCAACAAACAGTTGATGCAATGAATCACTCATTTGATTGACGTGTTTCGAAGATCAGACATGAAGAAAAATACCATAACGACAATCACAGGCTGTAAAACAGCTGCTGTGATTATGATCAGTAGCCACTCTAGGAAATCCATCAGCTGCACATATACATATCCATTTGTTCTTGCTTGATTCGTCTGCAAAAATGCATAGAACGAAATTAGTGCGGAGTGAACTTTTCTACATTGTATGATCCTTCATATGACAAGATCAACATGTAACAAGGAAAGAGTCATCTCAAGTTTTCTAAAGAAACAATTGCCTCTATGACAGTTCATGAAAATGACATCACGTGAAACTTTTACTTGCTTCAAATAAGTATTCACAGTCCAAACACTACAGCAACTGTGACACAGTACTGCAGCAAAAAGCTTTCTAAAACAAGGTAAAGAAAATCATACCAATAGTGCAATCACAGGATGATGAACAGTTTTCTGGAAGGGAAAAACTTGGGTTGGCGAGACAGCTGCAGGTCCAATTACTTGTTACTGATGCATTACGCACTTCTTCATCTGATAAAGACAGATGCAGACAGTGTTTCAATTTACTGCAAGTACATTTAAAAGGGAATTTACACGGAAGGAGGCATCCGTAATGCTCTCAACAACAATACTCACCGCCAACAATTTGCTGTATCCACACCAAGCTAATGATGAAAGCAATTGCTGCTTCCTTTCGACCCCTCATTTCTTGTTGTCAAATCACTGAATTGAATTTAAAATGAAGATTAATTTAGAAATTTTCAATGTTAGTTGTGCGTGTTCTTTGAGGTTCAAACCATCAAGTCTTCAGATGTTTGAAAGCATTTTCAACTAAGTAACTCGAACGAATTCACTCATTCAGTGTAAATCCTCGAAAACATTGTAAAAGCTTTTGGTAACAACACAAATATTTCAAAATAATGAGTAAAGAGATATCTTACCAAAGAGTAGTTCATTCACGAAATCTTCATGTCAAGAACCATTCTGCAAGAAGGCAATCCCAAATTATTACATTGTATAACAGCGTAAATCCAACGAAAATGATCATAACGTCATCCATAAATCATTATTCTGGTACAAAGAGAAAAGACGAGGAAACTAGAAGATATCATATTATCCACAAATTGCCTTTCAGTACAAGAGAAAAGACAAAGATCAGAACAGCCTGGAAAACAGTTTTCAGATTCTTGCCCTCGAAAGGTTATTCTATTGGTCTAACATGATAATTAAACTCGAAAGCTGGAATTATAATAAACATAAACAATCGAACAGTAAGAGTGTGAATGATAATTTGTAATCTACGATAGTTAGGACTTAATAGACGGTAGGCCAACAAATGTAAGTAGGTTTGAACTTCTCTGGATGTACATTTAAACAATTTCTGCAGCACAAATAGCTGAATGATATCTAGGTAGTTAGTAAGTCTCCTGAGAGAAAGTGATGCTCAACTAACAGCTCTAAATGCAGTGTTTCGGAGAATTGAAATGACACAGTGACAGTGTTCGTAACATTTGGAAGGAAAGAAACAATTCCACACGCACAAGCATAGACAATCTCAATCAAGCATCAGCAACATGAATATATATATGATATCCTACCACATTTCTTGAATAGTACAACCGCGCCATGTGCTCCTCTCGTATCAACTGAGTCTAATTTTTGTGATCAAAAGCGGAAATTGTTAAACTTTGAGATCAAGAAAATCTTATCCTCCCTACTTAACTATGCTTATTCACCATACAAGGTAGACCTATCAAAGATTTAAGAACAAAAAGGCCAAAAATAGTCATCTTGACAACACACACCTAAGACAAAGACATTTCATTTTCTAACTCCATCCATCAAAAAAAGAAAAAAAATACTCACTTTTAAAGATTTAAAAAGGTCTGTTAGATAGAAAATAATTCAATTACAAAGCTGAAACCAAACTCCATGAAAGCAACCCAATTTTCAAATCAGAAAAAGACTTGTCAACAACAATCAAAGCAATAACAAATACATTGTCAAAATACAGTAACAAACTAATAATTAGAAGCCACCGCACAGAGACAGAATTTTCACTAAATTAACGAGTTCAAAATATGAAAATGTAAACACACAATGAAATCAAATGAGGTTCAACATCTAATATATATATATACATAAAAAAAAAACTTTTTTAACCATAGTACAATTTTCGACTCGGTGACATAACACATCAAGAAACCAAACGGGGTTCATCATCTACTATTTATAAACATAAAAAACAACGTTTTTAACCATATATAAACAGTACAATTTTCGACTCAATGACAAAACACAGCAAGAAACCAAATGGGGTTGATCCTCTACCATATATATACATAAAAAATAAAAAATAAATTAACCATAGTACAATTTTCAACTACAAAACACATCAAGAAACCAAATGGGGTTCATTTTCTACTAAATATATACATAAAAAAAAACCTTTTTAACCATAATACAATTTTCAACTACAAAACACATCAAGAAACCAGATGCGGTTCATTATCTACTACTCCATATGCATAAAAAAAACAACTTTTTTAATCATATATAAACAGTATAATTTTCGAATCACACATCAAGAAACCAAATGGGATTAATCATCTACCGTATACAATACATAAAAAAATAATTTTTTTAACCATATATAAACAATATAATTTTCCGTAACCCCGTCATACGTTTTGAACAATGTGGTATGGTAGAAACAGTAAAGTGTTTACCAACGGTTAGGAAAGACTTTGCTTCCAAGACATTTTTGATAGAATCTAAAAAGCTGTTGTGGCCTGCAACATCAACTACAAGTAGCTAAGCAGAGTTTGTTTTTCTTGTATTATTACGACTTTCTTTAAAGTGATGTTTTTTTAAAAATAAAAAATAAAATTAATTAAAAAGACGTGCATAAATGATATGATATGATAATAATTATTTTTAATTTAAAAAGAGACCCACAAAATTAGTGTCGGCTGTCGAGTAAAGACTAATAAAGTAGAAATTAACAAAAAGGGAACATTAAATATTTGATGCTTTTCTTGTCTAATTTACCAATATTTTGATTCTTAGAAGAGGGAAAAATTACAAAATTTCAAAAAATATTCCTTTTTTTTTTGGTATTTTGTGCTGATTTGGCTTTCAATTTATTCGTATAATAAATTTATCATTTACTTAATCAAATAAAATTAAGAAGAAATGAACATATTTTTGCTCTTTTAACAACAATTATAATATATACAATGTAATTCTATGAGATTTATCATTTACTTAATCAAATAAAATTAAGAAGAAATAAGCATATTTATGGTCTTCACCAACAATAACAACATAACGAGTGTAATTCCACGAGATTTATGCTCTACTTAATCAAATAAAATAAAGAAAGAAATGAGCATATTTATGTTCTATAACAACAACAATATATTCAGTTTAATTCTATCAAATTTATGCTCTTTAACAATAATAACATATTCAATACAACCTAATGATATTTATGCTCTTTAACAAGCAACAATAATAACAACATACTCGGTGTAATTCCATCACAAGAAATTTTATGCTCTTTGATAACAACCTACCCAATATATAACCCCAAAAGATCTGTTCGTTAACAACAATAACAATATACCCAATATAATTCTACGAGATTTACGCTTCTTCTTTAATCTTTAATATAAACGTGAATATTGGCTCCAACAGTAAATGAAAGAATTAAATATATTTTCAACAACAAAAACAAAACAATTATTTTTACTCTGAATTTTCATTCAAAACAATTCACGTAATATGTCAAATTAGCATTTAATTTGAGTAATTTTGTGCTGCTATTATTTTCAATAGGTCCACAAATGAAGAATCCAATTACTTTATTTTCAAACACTCATTGAAAACGAAATGTACCATTAATTTAATATATCCATCATTATTAAATCTAAACACCAATAACAATACAAAATAATCGTCATTATTATTTCTTAATTTTATTTTCTGTGCCGACACTGGAAATTAATTAAAATCACAATAAAATTAAAATTCGTCGACGGTTACTTTGAGCTGTTGTTTGTTTATTTCTTCGTATTTCTCCGTTATCGAATCGGAGAAGCTGCCGTAAATGCCACGTGTACGAGAAATTAGCTGAGGGGAATTTTACGTACCGTAATTCACCGGAAAAAGCTGCCGGGAAAAAATAAAAATTCCGATGCCGAGTAGAAGAAAATGGGCAATGTAGTGAGCATTAACAGAGTAGTAGTAAAAAGCTTGCAGAGCTCAACGACTGAGCTGCACAGATTTCGAGGAAGCCACGTGTATATACTTGTGGGCCCAGGGAGGCTCCCATGTGGAAATTTGGACTTCCCAATGTGGCAGAGCCAAATTAAAAAATTTGAATTTTAGCAGTTGCCACCTGGCATATAGTTGACTAAGAGAAAAAAAATTCTTTGATTTAATAATTGAACTTAGTTAAATAGGTACAGTATATAAAATAAAATTGATTTGCATAATCGTACGATAACAATTAATTCAGTATGATTTGATGAGTGAGGTTTGAAGAGGAAATATATATCTACTTTTATTCTTTATTTTTATAAAGATAGGAAAATTATTTTTTATAGACTATTAGTTTAAGTAAATCATATAAAACAATACATACTTAAAGTAAAAAATAATGACAACAAATAGGAGCTAACGAACATGAAAAGAAAAACATGTTCCACTATTTTTACTGTAATATTCTATTATAATTTTCAATTTTTATATTTTTCTATTAAGGGTCATGCCTTTGCTAAGTTTCAAGCAAGATTTTCATGTCTTGTTTAATCATTGATCTTCATGACTAATTCGATTTATCTCTGTCTCTTTTTATGCACCTCTTCTTCCTCATATATTTTGTTCACCATTGAGATAACTCTCATTTTGTCGAATATAGCTTCGTTTTTACAATATTTTTTCTACTATTTATATTCTTTCTAGTATTTTTACCCATCCAACTCGTCTAAAATAGCATTTTGTGGATATGTGTGCTCTTGATTTATCAACACTCTTGTTCAAACGACACTATAATGCTTTCCATGGGACAATGTAAATTATATTTAATTTCTACTAATTATCAAGAAAAAGAATTCGTAAGTTAACAAGTACGCATACACTCTTATATATGTACATGGCTCTGCCTTTAATAATAGGTCTAGTCACTACTTTATAAAGCTCACCTTTAATCCATTATGATACATTCTTATCGCATAATATTGAATTCAAATCAACCGCCTCATTTCCATGTTGTGTCTTGTACATGTAATATATTATATTATAATAAAATTTACTTATAAATATCTTTTACCTGATAAAATATATATTAATAGTGTTATAAAATATAACTCTCAAAAATAGTGATAAATAAAAATGAGAATGAATCGAGTAATTTAGATAAATACTTGATATTTTATTTGATAATTTTTATATTAAAAATAGATGTTCATTTAATTTACTATTTTAATAAATTAATATAATTTTATTGTATTTTTAATATTATTCTTTGTATTACATAACTAAATAAAATAGTATTTATCAAATTAAGAGTTTCAAAACGTAATTAATGTAAGATTAGTTTGATAAAAAAAATCATGTAATTAAACTTTTTTAAAAATACTCTTTTCGTTCATTTTTACTTAGCACAGATTTAAATCACTGACATTTGTAATATTCTTATTAATATGGTGCCATTGGGATCCCATATCATTAATACGCTATTGGAATCATGTCATCATTAAAAATATATAATGACAGTAAAATTTGATGATAGGTACATTTATTTAAATCAATAAATATATAACATGTCATTATATATATATATATATATATTATTAGATTTAAGAAGAGATAGCGGTAGATTGAGAAAAAAAAATTGAGAGAAGTGATTAGAATGTTATATGATTACAAATAAGAGAGTGTGAATATTGATGATTAGGATAGATGTGTAGTTGATAGTAGAGCATTTTTATGATTATTCAGAGATTATAGACAGTAGAGCATTTTTATGATTATAGATAAGAGAGTGTGAATATTGATGATTAGAGTAGATGTGTAGTTGATAGTAGTGTAAAATCATGATTATCGAAACTTTCAATATATATAGCACATGTGCATAATTGAAGGGGAGCTTTGGCGGTTGATGTCATGAGATCGGAAGATCACGAGTTCAAATGATAAAAATAGTCTCTTGCAGAAATGCAGAGTAAGACTGTGTATAAAAGACCTTTATAATCCGATCCTTTCTCAAATCCCGCATATAATAATAGTGCATAATTAATATGTACACTAATTATGCAATAATTATACACTTTTTAATTAGATTCCTTTGGTACTCCCCTTTTTAAAACAATTAAATTTTCCTAGAAGTGTTTGATTTCCACTTCTTCAATTGTAACGTACCACCTTATAGTAGGTACAATGGCAACGTCTTGTAGGCAATTTGTTTTGACGCAAACATCAATAGTTGATTTCACAACTCGAACAATTCTGACCTTTGTGTCACAAGAAAACAACTTTATCTTTGCCCTAAGAACCTTCTTTCTTCATCCTTTACTTGATTCTTCTTACCCAATTATCTAAAATATGAACATATCGCCTTTATTTCATTCATGCACCTATTCTCAACGGAAGAATGAATAATTTGTTTCCTTGCAGATCATAACCTTACACTCGGTCCAAGATGGCCACTAAGGAATTCAATATGTACATATTTTTTACATCGTCGAGTTAACTCTAAAAAGTAACTTTTCATAGCAAGCCTGATACGATAACTTTTTTTTTAAAAAAAATAACATGCTTTAACCCCCTAAGAGCAAAGAAGAATAAATTGATGCACTAAATTTGAGCTTCACATAGAATAGTGAAGATTTTATTTTTTTCATATATAAATTCAAGAAAAACCCTCCATGTATACCCACAATTACAATGGACCATACCCCAAACCTCACCCAAAGAGAACACAGGATTAATCCTTTATACACCCATAATAGTCAATAACAACATACCCAGTATAATCCCACGAGTGGAGTCTGGGGAGGATAGAGTGTACAGAGACCTTACCTCTACCTTGGAAGGTAGAGAGACTATTTCCGATAGAGCCTCAGCTCTAGGTCACTCAATTCCTCTTGAAGCCAATTTACTAGCTATTTGTCTTTTGTTTTACACTCAATTCTTGCCAAAATCTTCTTTATTAATGTACATTTTACTAGAAATATACCACCCCCTTTAGCCCATGATTTCCCAAAACCCGAAAATCGAAACAGCAGATCAGTCTTGACATAACCAATTCTTGGAAGTTGAAGGAAGAAAAGGTGTGTTGAGGATCACCTAGGCTGTTGTCGTGCAGGAAATGATCGTAGTGGCCTTAGAGGTGGTCGAGGAGCTGGACTACCGAGGTACATTGTCTGTGATCGGCTAACCATGTCAATCATGGATGGTGTCTGGTAAGCCTGAATGAGGCTTGTACTATCAGTAGAATCACCGCGAGCTGTTGCTCTCTGCCATGAATGTGAACTTAGTCCTGACAAAACGTAAGCTCTACCAGATGTTTCATAAACACGACGATTTGCCATCCTCTCTTGCATTTCCTTCAGCTCAGCATCTAGTGCAAGACATAGCCTGTCTCCAGCTTTAGCAGACACTGTTTCTGACAATTTTTTCCGACAACGCTCAAGAACAGATACTGCAGCTGCTAAATCACCATTTTCAGCTGCAGATCTTGCTTCAGCCATAGCTTCTGCTGATTGAAGCCGGTTACGCTGCTTGTCAACTTCCATTGACA